CTATGTAATTGCAAATGTAATTTCAAGAGTCTTAATAAAGTACTAGCGTGACTGCTTAAGTTAAAAAAAAAAAAAAATAAAAATAAATATTTTAATGAAAAACTTTTAATATACAATTTTGTAACATATAATACATTTAAAAAAAACTTTTCAAATATTCATATTTGATATATAGTAATTGTGACTTTACATTACTAACAATTTTTTAATAACAATATTCAGTATTTTAATTTTCTTTATATAATTAAAATACTTTTTTGTAACTATGTCCTTTACTTATTACTTCCAATATATAGTATTACTATTAAAGTCTTTTCATGTTTGTAGCATAGTTTGACAGTTTTATAATTTCATTATATCATCATTTATCTTTTCTAATACCTTGAAATTTGAGTGAATTTTTTCTAATCATAAATGTTTTTTTGGTTTAGTATATGATTCTTCCAATAATTCTTTTAACTTAAATGTTATTAAAATTGATATCAAAAATAATATATTACTGTATATGTATTAATATGAATTTTAGATATAAAAATATAAATTATCTTGTCTAAAATTTCAATAAATAAACCAAATTAGCTTCATACATATTTTGTTCTTCATTATCACTTTTAATAATATAAGCATCTTCATTTTCAACAACTGAATCTTGAATTAATTGAATATTTGAAACTTGAATTAAGAAATCTCCAAACTGAAATATATTTACTAGTTTATCTTCATAGGTTGAAATTAATAAATAATTGCTATTTCTTTGTACCTATTATATAAAAATATAAAGTAAAAATAATAATGTAAATAAAAAAATTTTTTTTTTACCTTTTTTAAAAAATATTGTGTTAACTTTTTCAACAGAATGAACCAAATGTTTGTACAAAAAGAAATGACTTTTAATAAATGCAAAGCATGTACATATCTATCTAGCCAAATTTGTAAAATACTTGTTATTTATCTCTACTTTTTTTTTCAAGATTTTACTATTCTTTTTTAAATTCATTTCATCATAGTACTGTATAACAACCATGTTTAAGTAATTTAAGTTGACATAATTGTTAATTAATAACCTTTTTTACAAGAATATAGCATAAATAATTAATTCTTAGTTTATGAAATTTATTTAAATAGTCATGCTTAATATATCACCAATAAGACTCAACTATCATAATAGTTTTGATATGACTAATATTTTTGTTAGCTGTCTGAGCCCATAAACTCTATTTCTCTTTAGAATATTATTCCTTCCAGAGATAAATTTATAGTTTTAGTAATTTATTACTTTTACAAAATTGTATCATCTTACTAATACACTCTTCCTAAATATAATTTGCATTAGTAATAAAACTTTCATCTAACTTTAGTAATAGCATATGTTGATTCAAATGATTCTCTACAAGATCAAGTACATTTTTCTGCAACTTTAAAGAACAAAAAATTTGTGCTTTCTAATTACTTACAATTTTCTAATTAGAATCTATTGTTAAGTATTCATTATGAGCAGGTTTTGAATTATATGAATAATAAATTCTAGTTTTATTTAATGCCAATTATTGCTTAATAATATGATGAATATGCCAACTACATAATTGTAAATGAGTCTCAGGTTATACACTTTGTGTTGCATTAATTTTAGTGAAATCCTTATCTGTTAAAATAAATAAAAATCTTTTTAAATATTGATCTCTTAAATTTTGCATTCATCTTGTAAGAATTTCAGTAATATTTTAATTTTTGCTAGCTGAAACTAAGAGGTAACTAAGAGAAAAACCAGTATTATCAATTACTCCTATAATAACATATAACTTCTAAGCTAAACTATTAGTACCAAATGTTGCATCAATTTCAATTACATTGAATTTATTATTTAATAGTTAATGAAATAATGCTGTTAAAAATGTAATAGAGGAATAGATAAATCAATATCTATAAGAATTTCTTAACCAAACTCTATTAATAAATATTTGGTTGATAATAAAAGATTGAAATCACATTAGTATAGTTTGTGAGATTCGATAGACCACCAATAATATACTTGTTGAATTGTTATATTTTCATATCCTTTAATTTAATTTTCCTAAACCTGATTCCAAATTTCTAAAGCTGAGTAATTAATATTATTTCAAATGAAATTTTAAATTTCTTGAGTTATTTTAATATGTTGTGGTCTGGAATGTAATATTTTATAAAAATATTTAACTTTAATTAAGTTTAATGTAGAAAGAATTTTAATTGTTATAATTCTTTTACAATTATATTATTCCAAGAATGTTGGTATATCTTTTTGCTTATTTATATTAAGATGTTTGATCTGTTGTTTTTCAAGTTCAATTTGACAGTTACAATAATATATAAAAAAAAATATTTTATTTTTTGTATTTTATTTTGATAGATTCATGAATAATCATTGCTTTCTATAATAAGAGATATTATGTACTAACTTATTTTAGAATTTATATTTTCTTTTTGTGATATATCTTGTTCTAAAATAAAATCAATAAGAGATGATAATTCAACATTAAAATCTATATTTAGCTCTTCATTTTCTCCTTTATAATGTTCATTGGTATTATTTAATGAAATTAGAGAGCTATATATAGTATCCATGATCTCCAAGTAACTAATTATTGAATCAAATTGAGTTTCATTCTTTTTTGATTGTGTAATTTTAATGTTATTCTGATATTGAAGACACTTCTTTAAAAAAACACCTTTTTTGTTTAGAAATTCATCAGAATTTCATATAACATAACATCCAATATAAGTTGTGCTTTACAAGTTTATTATAATAATTTTTTTTTTGCTTCATTATAACAAAAGTAATAGAATGTGTAATATCAAAGTTAATGATAAAAGTTTCTTTTTTGAATAAGTTGTAAAATTTATTACTGTTTGAACAAGAGAGTTTTTTTTTATATGATAATAGAAATTTTGAATATAAATATAAATTGCTGTAGCAAAAGTAATAGAACAGATAGAATAGTATTATATCAATATTAGTGAAAAAGTTTTTTTTTTTTTTTTTTTGAATAAGTAGTAAAATTTAGGGGAATTTACAAATAAGGACCCAGAAAGTGAAAATAATTACAAATATGGATCCAAATTAAAAATAATTACATAAAAGAGCCTAATTTTTAAAAAATATTATATATAAGGGCCCAAAATAACAGTGACATTATTCAATCCTATGGCTTGATCGTTATTACATAAGAATATAAGCATCAATAAATGTAATGATCGATTGTAAATTAGTAATTATAAACGAAAAAAAAATTTTTTAAAATTATTTTTTTCTTGTATAAAATCGGTTATTGTTATACATTGCGAATTGGAATAACATTTACTAATATGAAGATAATTGTTCTGTTCTTGAGAGATACTCTATTGAAACTTCATCGTCTTATAAATAATTGTGCTAGTTCAACACTATTTTTATTTAAGCGAAAATGATTGTAGCCAGCGCTTCATTTATTTTTTATCTAATAATTGATATCTAGATAACTCCAAGTGTCTATAATAAAACAACCAATAATCCTATAATCGCGATTTTGCTATTGTTATAAGTCAAATGGTCAGAGTACCTTGTGGACAGTAGTTTCGTGATCATGTTTTTTCATCCATCAATAGACTTAGGCCCCTATATGTAGTATTTTTTAAAAACTAGGCCCTCATGTGTAATTATTTTTAATTTAGGCCCGTATTTGTAATTATTTTCACTTTCTGGGCCCTTATTTGTAAATTCCCCTAAAATTTATTTTATTTGAAAAATGTAAATTGCTATAGCGTAAGTAATAGAACGATATAATATCAATGTTAGCGATAAAAGGAAATTTTAATCATTTCATTGTTAAAATTCCCTTATTTGTGGTGTTTAAAATGATTGGCCAGTATTCAATTATTATTACCAAAAATCTATCCGAAACCGAAAAATTTTTCCGGCTACCATTTTTACTAGGCTACGCTATGTAAGCTATTGAGAAACACGATTTATAATCATATGAATCATATGCTAAATCATGTGCCATACTAAAGGTTGGAGCCGGTTTTAATGATCGGGTTTATCACATGAATTTTGCGATATATATTTTAGAATTTATTAAAATTTAATTGGATAAATTTCTAAAATATCAAAATTCACGACAAACCCGAATTATTAAACCCGGTTCCAAACCTATATACCCTACAACTTTAAAGTTCCATATCACAAAGCTATATAAAAAAACGAAATGACAAACAAAAGACGAATCCAAAGTTATATCTTTATTTAGGACAGTAAGATATGTAAATATGATCTAGGGAACTATCGCTAACGCTAAGTTTATCTGAGGAAAAATAAATCCGCATGATCTTATAAATTGACAATCTTATCACATTCGTATAACGAGCATGTCTAAACAAAAAGCAGTCTCAGAGACGCCACCTTCACCGGTCTATATATTTCGGGGGCATGTAGAACAAATTAATAGTTTAGAGTTCATTGAAAATAATAGATATCTTATTTCAGGGTAGGAAAAACTGTTTTTTTTTTAAATAAAGATAGTAGTATGATCGTGTGGATTCTTCTATTTTGTAATTAATGAAATCGAATATTATGATATATTTTTTATGCTCTATTTTGTGTTATCATTTAAGAGATGCGGGAGGAAATGTTATTATATGGGATATGATTTCGAGGCGTTCGAAAATCCAATTTAAAGCACATAATGATGGAATTTTGAGTATTGTAAAATTTAAAGATAAATTGATCAGGTATAGTAAGCGTGAAATTTTCTAACTTTGTCTAAATTCACGAAGCTTTTAATTTGTTTGAAGATTATTTAACTTGTATTGGCGAATTATTATATTTTAATCAATTAGTCATGGCCGGGATAATACTTTACATGTTTGGGCGTTTGGTCAATTGTCAAATGCTAAGGACGAAAGTATTAAAGAAGAATCAATAAAATCTGAAATAAGTTTAACAGTAAATTCGTTAAATTTTTGTAAATTTGATTTTTGCTATGAAGGTAGGATGTATCATGTTTATCTTAATAGGATATGAATTTTGGTAAAGATTCGGTTTTAATACAAGTTTTTTATGTAGAAATTAATGATAAACGTGATGAACTTTTTATAGCAGTACCTAGTGCCAAAGGTTCTTCTGGTGTATGTTTTTTTTGTTATCAGGTTATTTGAATTCTTTGGTGAGAATTCTTCATTTGGAAACATTAAAATATTTTTTCAGATTGATATATGGAATTTAACGAATCAAAAATTAATCGTGTCTTCAATTGGGCTCGATCAAAATCGCAAAACTGGTATTCTTATCTTTTTTAAGGAGTTTCTCCTAACTGTGACATACCAATCTGATATGCTACCTTATTTTACATTTAAAAAGGTTACTGCATGGCCATAAAAATTTTTCCAAATAATAATTTTCAGAATATTCAATCTGTTACTAAAAATTATTTAATATTAGCGGCCTATGAAAATGGTAGTGTTAGTTTATGGTCAATTACTATTAATATTAATGATTCAGTGTCGAATGAAGATAATGTTGTCGTTGAAAAATTGTGGGATCGAAAGGAACACGGAGAAAGTGGTTAGTGTAAATCATCAGATATCTTCAAAATTTGATTAATGTATATTAAATATAAGGCAATTTATAACATTAAAAATTCTTTGTATTAGTTTTAAGTATAGATCTCTCACCTAATAAGCAATTCGCGATGTCAACTTCTGGAGATAATAAAATTGTGAAATATAATTTTGATGAGGTAGTTTTTTTTAGAGTTTTCATAAATAAAAATAGCTATTTTTTTAAAAAAAAAAAACATGATAGGGATTTAGAGAAGAACCATTGATCCAAAGTACTACTGTAAAATACGCCGGTGTTGCAGAAGTCAAAATTCGATCTGATGGGAAGATTTTTGCAACTGCTGGATGGGATACAATGTGTGTCATCGCTGTAATCTTTTATAAAACTATATATAATGAATTATGGGTATCAAATTTTCAACTAATTATACAAAATTTTTTACGTAAAAGGATACGTGTCTTTTCTTCTAAATCTTTAAAACCACTGGCAATATTATCTTATCATCGAGAGAGCGTTTATGCATTAGCTTTCTCTTGCATTTTACCATTGGACGAACAAGATCATGATAAATCTATAGAGGAAGAGAAAGATCTTGGAAGCGAGGAAAGGATAGAGAAACACTATTTAGTTGGAGGTGGGAAAGATCAAAGGATCAGTTTATGGGAAATTTATTAAATGTTAAGGAATGGTGTGAGAGGGATCATTTTTATTAATGGTGCTGTAAGCTATACTATACTTCATCTTTGTAAGAATTATAACATGGTCAAGAAATATGCAGTCATACATGCATAGTCAATATTGTTTGCCGCTGTTCATTTAACCAGTTTGAAAATTCCAGTGGTACTTTTATGAATTATAGATGATGCGGTATTAGAGTTAAGTATTGGTGTTATTTGTTATTTATACGAATATAGTTGATGTAAAATTTGGTTTAATTATACATATTTAAATTTACAAAAATAGAGCATGAGTAAAGGTAATTTATATAAATGCCAGAACTTCATTTATTTGCATGAAAAATAAGTGATTGATTTTTTCTATTTTTCAAAGTATCAAAGAAACCAATTTTCTAACTGCATTGAAGTATTTTATATTTTGCATACTTTAAGCAAATAGCAAGAACTATATCGAACCCTCTAAACGCACTCCCTTATGAAGCATAAAACAAAATTTTAAACTATGTATTTAGAAAGAGCGTTTATTTTATTTTTTTAAGGAACCAGCAAGCGCATTTGGACGTATTTGGGAAGTACGTTTAGAAAGGTTCGCTGTGCAAGGATTTATAAATAATAATGGTAACTTTTAGTATTATACACGTAACAAATGGATATAAATGGTTATATGAAACTTACTGAAATAACTATACTATATGATGTATTTTGATAAAAAAATTTCGGCAATAATTCGGCAATAATTTCGGCAAATATGAAAAATTAATTTCGGCACTATATAAGACTAATTTCGGTTGCCTAAATGCCGTAATTACTTTTTATTAAGATGAGAAATTTCGGCACACATGTATGAATTCTTTGCATTCAGACTCCCATCCTAACACATTTTAAATAGACGGCCGTTGTATAACGCGAGAAATCAAATCTTTAAATTTTTATTGATAGGATGATTTTTTATGAAAAATCTAACATTTACAAATCGGCATTTATTCTCAAGTACGTCATAATAAATTGCTCCAAAATTTAATTTTCGAGTACTTAAAATATTTACATTACCAAGTACTTAAAGGCTTTTGATATTAAAAAAAAGATAAACGAAAGTTTTTTGAGTACGAAAAATCATTTACATACTATTGTAATTCAAAGTTAATTAAATTCTAAAGGGAAAATTCTTACGGAAAAGGTGTTGAAAAATCAAGTATTCTTAATGGATGAAGTTTAGTAATGAAACGCTATTTAAATATTTATATAAAATTATGTAAAAACTAACTTATTTTACTATGAATGTTATGTTTATTTATAATATACATTTTTTTTATTTTTTTATTTTTTTTTAATTCGATATAATTATATTCACCAATTCGCTTGCATATGTAGCATTGATTTTCATTTTTTCTTTAGTTACTGTTAAGAAAGATCCACATTCCATCAAGTTAATGAAACCAATTTCTTCAAGGTATGATGGCATTTGGTTTATTCTACCATTTGCAATCGCATTTTGTCTGCTTCCATATTGTCCTTCGGATGAAACAACAGTGTACAAAATGGATTGAACTGAATCAAGAATTGGTATTGTCTCACTGCTATTAATTATTTGTGACATCTTAGGAAGTAAGCTATCATAACTATTAGGAAGTTAAGGTCAAATAATAAAATATATTTAACATTAAAAACACAATTACGATTTTAATAAATAAAAGGATACACTAAAGCAAACACTTCAGGTAATGCTACAGCAGCTTCTGAGAGAAATCCATAAAGAAATAGTCTTTCTGGCTCGTTCTCTGCGGTTTGCAGCATTGCAACCATTAAAGAAATTAACAATAAGCCTGTCTGATTATCAGGAATATCCAAATTTTCAAAAATCTTATAATAAGTTGTTCCAAGTTCGGAATTTTCTACTTCAGTATCAAAGATTCCACAGAGCCAGAGCAATTCTCGCATATCTGCATTTTTTGCAGATACTGGCAAAAGAGCTGCTAGATATCCTAACATACTAGAATCTATTATATTCTTGTTTGTTCGTTCACCTAACACACCTTTTGAAGCAATGTCTAAGAAACATGTAAGTACTGCCAGTGTACCGGTTTTTGTGACTGGATTTTTCAATCCTTTCAGAAGTGTAGCCGCTACTGCAAATGAAAAGTGATTATAATTAATTCCACATTCCTTATCCATTTTGATGGCAACTGTTTCTAAAGGTTCACGTGCCCTAAGAAGAACGGTGGCAATGTTTTCAGTTGCAAAAAAACAATGATTATCCAACGTTTTAAGAACCTCATGCAATAAATTAATGGCACTTGGAAATATTGGAATGTGACCTATTTGAACAAGGGACATTGCTAGCCAGAACATTGGTTGTAGATAACGGCTATCACTGGATAAATTCCCTACAATATTGGTGAGGCACATTACAATGCTGATGATGAGAGAACAATCATTTTCGGTAAACTTTGACAATGCACCATTTAATGATACTAATATTTGATATAGGAGATCATCGTCAACTTCTTCACGAGCCAGGCAACCTAGAGTTACGAATGCCCTTGGTTGTATTGCTGGGTTATTTTGAAATGCAGTGCTTGTAACTAGACCCATCCATCGTGCTCTCCACATATTTGACATATCTAGAAACAAAATATCAGACCATAAAATCATCATTAAATAATAAATAAATGCTTGTTTTGCAAAACTGATAAGGATTATAATTTACCAACAGATCCAGCACCACATATCATTACTTCTAAGAGTGCTTGCACTATTTTTTCAAGAGAAGCAAGAGGCATTGTATCTGGCATGTCATTAGCAGACTCCTGAGATATAACAAATGCATTTCCGGATACATTGTTTAGACCAAAAAAGTATCTGAAATTTGGCTCCGATAATTCGGTTAATAATATATTCAATCTTTTTATATTTGCTTCACTTAGTGGCATTGATGTGCACAATGATTGAACTAAATTTACAATAAGTCCATGGATTGAAGCCCTTATTAGCGGCGGACCAGTAGCAACAAGTATAGAAATTACATAAAATAATTCCGGTAAAAACATATGAACATGGCGATTATTAAATGATAACATTAAATTGAACCGAACTAAAGCTGCTATTTGCGGCCATACTGGATTTTCTGTAAGTGTCCTTGTTGAGTTTAATGATGTTCGTGCAATAAACTAGTTAAATGATTTAATGGTTTGTGATTTGGAAGTGAATGAGAAATCAAAATATGTATGAGGATAAGTCACATATTTACTGATACTCTAACATAAATACCTGTCGTAATTTGGCAATTATTTTGCCACGAATATTTATGGAGGATAGTGTTACAATGGTATTGGCAACTGTTTCGGATTGCATTGAGCTTATACCGTGGTGAACAGCATATTGAACAAATTCATCAATTATTATATTTGTAATTTCGTCAACTTTTCCTAAAGTTTGCCATACTTTAGATTGAATAGCATTATACATCTAATTAAATAAAAATTGATTGATTTAAAAATATTTGTAACTATAATTAAAATACATTAACATAAGTTGATAATCATACTTCATTTTCTTTTGCCGTTAGTTCGATCAAGCTCTTGATTATTTCTCTTGTTTTTTCGCTTTGATTTTGATTGTCCGTTCCATTTCTGCTGAAATATGCCAAATTTGACAACCAAGGTGCCATGTATTGAAGACACAGATGCTTCAAAGGTGTGCTAGACTTACTAAATCCGACAAAGAATTCGGATAAGAAATCCTGCGTAAGATGTGGTTCTGATTGTGCAAGCCTCTCACTTAAATTTACGACAAAATTTGTATTATTTGCCGGAATACATAACCCTTTAAAAGATTGGAAGCTTATATAATTAATATAAATTTAATAGAGAATATTAGATGATACAGTGACAAGTTACCTTTTGCAGCAAGTAATTGACCACCAACGTCAAAATTAAATATGAGGCTCAAAGCTACAAGTAAATTATATGCTGCAAGCCTCAAGTTCGGATCATCGCTTCCTATGTTAAGGAGTGCCATATTTAATAATGTACCAGGGACATCATTAGGTCGAATTACTCTCTCAGTAATATTTGTGGGTTTTGCTATTTGATATCTAGCTTTGGAGGAGCGAATAGCCTTATAAAGTGGCATAAATGATTATTAGGGATGAAAGCGTATACATTAGTAGTAAAAAAGAGATTAAAAGTGATAGGTACTTGAATTATAGCTTCTTTTTTTGGACTTGTAAAAGCAAGTGTTGGTCTTCCAAGGTCTTGTTTAATAATAAATTCATCATCATGTCTGTGAGTAAGGAGAACGTCTTCGATCTCTGAAATATGGTAGACATCGTTGAGAAAACAGCTTAATCCATTAAATATTTCTTGTTTCCTTTGCTAAATAATTAAATGCAAGGCAGTGAGTGACTATCTTTTAAGAAAAATAAATAATAATAATAACGAAACATCTTTACCGTTATTATTTGAATCGTTTCATTACTGATCTTCATAGTAACAGGAACTTGCATTCTGTAATGTGAAATCCTTATTACAGGACTGAATATCTGAGGCAGATCAGTATCAAGTTGCACTAGAAATGAAAATGGAATTTTGCTAGTTTAGAATACAAATTCTTACACAAGTTAACGATACCATAATTTGTATAAAAAAAAAAAAATTACTTGTTCTAGTTGGCAATCTAACATCTAGAGGTGCTATATATTGATGAAGTTCTTCCAATGTACAGAAAAAATACGTTCTTTTGCTAATTTTGCTAGGCAATGATTGTATTTAAAACATTGAAGTCAAAGACAATAGATAAAAATCAAGTAATTTTTCAATAATAATTTGATTATAAAAGGATATTTCCTAATTTTTTAATAAATTTCTTGAAAGAATTATTTGGATTATAAAAATATAAAGCTGCTAGATTTTCGATGGCATTAAATGGAAGGATTTGCATGAATTGCTGCACCCATTGGGATTGTACTTCATTTGCTTGTCCAAATTGTGTAACATCAACCAGCAGTTCGAATGGTTTAGAGATATATGGCTCGATTACCTACAACAAACATGTTTGTAAAATAATATTTATAGAAATGAGGGCATAAACAATAGAAAATAACCGATCTACATACTTGAAGAATATGATACATTAAAAGATCCATATCAGTGGATTCTGCCTCGAATCGTCTTAATATTAAATAAAACACTTGCCTCTTTTCCTAAATAAGGAAAAAAATGTTAACTCAAAATATTTGGTTATTATTCTTGTTTCTCACGAACCTTTGATAAGGCACCATCATAAAATAATGATTTCGATATTATAGAATCAACAGAACGATTAGCATTTCGATGCATAAATTCAGTGAATAGTTGATGATTTGTCTCAAAATGATTATTATTATTGTTCTGCAAAAAGTCCTTTTTTTGACTCTCAGTCGGAGGACCAAGATGAGCTAATAATGTAGAAATTTTATCCCATGCTTTTTGGCTTGTTTGAGCTTGATCAAGTATAGTATTTGCGGAGCTAGCAGGATTTATAGATTTAACTCTACGCGTCTGTAAATCTTTGGCCATTTTTTCTTGGTTTTCAATTAAATACTTGTGAAGCGCCTTTCGATCTGCATCATCCAATTTACTTTGGTCACCTGTCCTTGTATCTGCGAATGATGGAATATTTGGAAATTTCTATGGAATAAAATCAAGAAATAAATTAATTATCTAATCTTTTGAATGTAATTTTGCTAGTCATACTTACAGAAATTTCTTCCAAGAATGCAGTTACTTTAACAATATTATCATTTAAAAACTCGTTAAGAACAATCATAAAAGGTTCTTTTGCACCAAAAAGTACGTTATTCGCAAGATTCTGAATAACTTTTGTAATTAATAATAATGTCCTTCTAATTTTCACATTTTGAATAGATTTACAAAGGTTTTCATTATCTGGTGATACAATTGCTGGATTGAAGAAGCGCAAAAACACGAATGCACCAACTGTAGTGCATTTTGCACGTGGATATTTTCCTTCAACAGAACTGCCTATATAATGGCATACTTGGCGAAAAGTCCTAAAGGTGGAAAAATAAATTCATATGTTTTGTATTTAAAAAAAATTTCTTTAATCAATTAATAGTCCTACCTAGGCATATTTAGTCCAGAATCACAAATGCCATCCAAGAAAGCTTGGGCTGTTGTCTTCAAGTTAATTAAATTTTTGTTAATATCCTCACCAGGAAGAAGGTTATCAGTATTCAATTCACAGCTGAAATCACTGGGTTTACTGAGGAGATCATCTATCAAAGGTTGCAGTGTGAAACGCAAATATTCTGCCCCGTGAATTTTAGCGAACGCAGCCAACATACGTGTAGCCATGCAATTACGTCGGAATAAGTCAGACTCATACTCTAACAATAAATAAAATAATATTAACATAAAATTTCACATAATTAAATTTTATAGGTAAGAAGTATTTATACCAGTATTTAAAACTTCTTTTTCGATGATGCCCTTCAACAGAGGCATGGTTTTATTTCGTGATTCAAAAACAGCCAGGAGAACTCGAGAAACATTATCTATATCAGAAACTGGACAGACTTCACATAACGATAATGCTATATTAAGGTCAGATTCTGTTATAAGCTAAATTAAATAATAGATATAGATAATTAATTTAACGAGGTCCCATAACTAATAATGCAAAATATATTTTACACAATATATTTTATATACCTCAACAAGCCTGTCGTATCGATCGTTAATTGCATTTTCTGCAAGGCCCTCGAATTCAGTACCTTGATTAAGAATATTGGTAAGGACTTGCATAAATGCAGTTCTGGTCTTTGTGTCTTCATGATACCCCATTGATAGAGAAAATTTCAATCCAGAGTCTACGTTAGCGCTAAGCAAATTACTTAAAGCTAAAATTGTATAGTCCTTCAAAGGTCCCAAGTCTTTTACATACTCCCTAGACTATACAAATGAAGAATTATATGTAATCAATTATCATATACTACACATGGACACATATTTTGGACTTATTTTTACCCTCGTTAATAACATTTGCAGATCTTGATTATTCCTTGCTGAATGCGTTCCACTATCAATAGCCTGTAAATATCACGATTTATAAGATTTATTTTTTTTTAAGAAAAAAAGATTGATGGAAAGAAAAGAAAATGTACCTCAAGAATTCTACATCTGTTTAGTAACTTAATGAAGAAGGAAAAATATTTAAAAAAAAGCCGAGATTTCACGCCACTAATTTCTGTTTCATGCACCGTTTCCGATGGTTGTAATGGTAATTGCGCCAATAATGAAACAATTGTTTTTAGACATGCTTGGTCTAAATCTCGGTGTAACCTTTCACTCTTATTTGAAAGATTCGGGCTATTGTCTTGATCTGTCTTTTGACAAAATTAAATATCAATATTATAATCCTTGCAAGCGTTAAATAAAGAAATTATCGACAATACCATTGAATAATCTGAAGTCCACTCAATAAATATTTCCAACAGTCTATTACGTAATACTATTTCTTGGCGAAGTGTTATATAGTCCTTTTTTTGCATTAACGTATCCGCCAATTGGCACATTCTTTTTTTAATTCGTAATGCAACATGACTTGTACCAAGTCGATTTAAATATCGAGCAAACGATAAAACCAATCCTCCGAGGTCTACAGCGTATAAATTTTCAGATGCATCTTGGATACGATCCAAAATGAGTTTTAAAACAGATATTGCTTGTTCGACACAAAGAGTGTTTTTTTCCGTTTGATATACATCTCCATCCTCATCAAAAAATTTAGATACAATTGATTCAATATGCTTAAAGAGAATAACATATAATCTTGGACTCAATTCTGAGCCTAGGATTTCTTTAACAGTTTCACGTACATACACAGAATCGCAGACGAGCAACTCCACCATATCATGAACGTATTTTTCAACCATTATGTGATTTGATTCTTGTGGTCTAGTAGTCGAACCATTTAGTGGTTTGTCAAAAACGCAACATCCCCCCAAAGCCGCTAAAAATCCTGTATAATTATGCCATTCTGTCATTTGTGCCTGTTATAAAGGTTAAATGCTTTTAATAAGTCATGAAATTATTCTAAAATTATTTATATGTAACATTATTTAATTTACCTCTGATACTGGTGTAGCACTAACGCCTAGAGGTCTTGCTGGACTAGGACTAGGCCAAGGAATGCGACCGCTCGGAGCATGAACTGAGGATAAATCTTCATTTGGTTTTGCAATCAATCCAGTAAGTGATTTCCAACGTTTATATGCCTCTTCCCATGCGGCAAGATTACCGGTAGTGGGTATTTTCATTAAACGTAATAACCTGCGAATGCGTTTCTGTTGTGCCATTCGACCTAATATATTTTTTATACTATTAACGTATTTTATTTATAGCAAATATTATTGTCAGATAATTTTACCTGGAACTATATAAGATGACAAGGACAATTCCATATATACATCCATATTTTCCACAATTGGTAATTCAGATGGAGGTGCTGCTTGTACATCAACCTCATCAGATACAAGCTCCGTAGTCAACTGAGCTTCAAGGCATAAATGACGGAAACAATTCACTGCCATTTGACATATACCCGTATCTGCAGAACACAATAACACTAATAAAGCAATTTCCAGTGCAACATTGCAACCTAGACGTTCAGGAACATTAATTCCAACATTTGTTTCATCCTATTTAATAAAGAAATACATTCCGTTATATAACGAGTTCTTTTTGATAATGTGATATTCAATTTAAATTAATTATGACATACTTTGTGAGCTTTTAGAAATTCATTTCGACGATTGAAAAGTTGAAGTAAAAGATCAAGCAAATACTTGGTTCCTTCATCACGTTCGTTGAAATCCAAAATTTGCCGAGAAATAACGAGCATTACTTGGGAACTTTGTTAACAAAAAAATGATAGATAAGCAGTTATTCCAAAGTGGCAAGATTTTGTAATTTTAGTAATAATGTGTAATTTTACCTTATTGACCAAAAATTACGCATTTTTCGATCCTTTGGACCCCATTGTTCAATTAATTCCATATTATGCAATTCCAACAAAGTTTCTGCAGCAGTAGTCCGAATTGCACTATTAAAATCATTAACGCATAGAGTCATTCCATGGATAACCAATCGAATCTCCTCAGGGTTTTCATTAGGATCACTATGCTATTAAAAATAATCAAAAAAAAAATAATTCAATAAAATTCAATTAAAATAAATTGAAATATGAAAATACAAAATTTCACAAACATACTAACCACAAGAGCAAGCATGGGATCCGATTTATATAATTTCAATATATTTAATATTATTTCCATTTTTTCATTTAACTCATCTGCTCTCTCCCTTGGCATCCTCCTTCTTCGAGGATCAGTACCCCTATCTCGACCCGAAACGTGTTGGTGAAATAATTTACGCAAAGGTACAGCAAGGATTGAATATACAGAAGAAAGGTGTGGATTCCAAGGGAATCTATTTTCCTGTTGGATGAGAAAGTCACGATATTGTAAGCAAAGAATTACATTTATTTTACAATAGTTATTACGTAAAAACATTTTGATTCATATTAATAAACATCTTACCTCAGAAGCGATAGCATAACAACTTTTCACTAGCACTAATTTAAATGTACTTGGTGCATTTTCAGCTAAACAAACCGGAATCAGATTTCCTAAAGTGTCTTTATTTAATCTGAATAAAGCTGTTAAGCATTCAGTCATGAGCTTTTGATCAATTTGTTGATCGTTTGTAAATGGCCTTGCAGGATCGAATAATTTCATCTATTTATTTATATGGTTATCAAGTTAAAAAAAAAAAAATTATAGTGAAAAATTATGGTAAAAATATATCTATAAAGTTTTAATAAAGATTTTATAAAGTTTTTATAAAGTTTTTATAAAGTTCTTATAAAGTTTTTATAAAGTTTATAAAATAAATCCTAAGATAATTTACTTGTAAATCTTTCTCAATTTCAGGAACTAAAGACCTTAAAGCAGAAGCTTCATTCTTAGCGATATAAGTAGAAGCTTTACATATATCGACGTAACAAACGGCAGCGACATCAGCGAGCCGAGGCCTTCTTAAAGAATTTCTCAGAGACTCGAGAAACGTTGCCTGAAACATATAAATAATAAGTAACAAGGATTAAATAAGAATTTAAAGGTTAAATAAGGAAATACCTTTTTTGACATTGAGGGAGGACGTTCAATCATAGAAACATTCGAAAGAATATCGGGGCATAATATTAATAACATAGTTTGTAATGGCCAAAAAATAGTTTTACGTTTGTTGTTATCAGCAAGATTATAACAAATATCAAATAAAATCTCAGGACCACCCTCTAATCGTTTTTGATTTTGACATAAATGTACAAATTCAGCAGGAAAAACCTCAATCCAATTCCAAATAGCCTTCCGTAGAACATTGGCCATTACACTTTGAGCGGATTTTTTAAGATGTAAAAATGAGCCACATAGTTCTTGACAAAAAATTATTTATTATTTATTAGCATATTAGATAGATATATATATATAGATATATATTTATAAATAATAATAAGAAATAAATTAAATAACAACTAAGGTTAACAAGAATACCTTGCAAAACCATGGACAACCTTTTGGAATTTAGATCAGAGACCTCTAATAATTTTAATTCAGCAGTTTCAGGCCAATCATCATTTGTTGAAGTTAAATACCCAATACGATTTTTAATTCTAGAGAAAACTACATGCCAATTTGAAGCACTAATATAAAATATAACACGTCCGGCATTTTTATAAATTTCAGAAATGATATCATGAGTAGCAGCGGAAACTTGAACATTAGGATTAGTAGGTAAACCATGATCTCTTGTAGGTTGACCACTTGAAGCACCAGTTTGAGGATTTAGGCTATTATCTTCATGAGTAACATACAGATGAAGGAATCTAGATAATACGCTCAAAATGTATTTAGCAAGTGGATCTTCCAAAGGTGGAGGATCATCCCATGACCTCGGTAATTTTTGTTGTTTTTGATCAATTTTTACAGGTTGAGGAATATTTTGGGTCGTAGAAGAGGAAACAGAATCAGGATCATTTATTGATTGAGAATTAGAAAGAATCACTTGTGTAGCTTTTGATTGATTATCTATCTCACGTTGAGAACCTCGATAATATTTCCAATGATTTGTCATACAAGCGGATAGAATTTTTAGGATGAATAATTGTGATTGAAGAACATCGAAAGGGACGAAATCTTCCATGACCACTGATGACTGTTTAATTGAAAAATTTCAACTTAATAAATTAATAAATTAAAATTGATATATGAATAAAATAAAAAATATATATGAACAAAATAAGAATATATATCTTATTTAAATTAGGTAGCAAGGAATTCATATTTCATTAATGACCCACATAAAATAAAGCTTTTGAAATGGATTGAAAATCCGAAATTCATGGTATAATTAACGAAATAATTCATTCATGCCATAACAAAAAAATAAGATAAAATAAAAGAAAAATAAATAAATAAAAATAAAAAAAAGCAAAAAATAAAAATAAGAAAATAAAAAAATAAAAAATAATAAAAATAATAAAAAAACAAAAAAAATAAAGAGAGTAAAAATAAAAAAATAAGTTAAAAAAATAAATTAAAAATAAAATAAAGAATAATAAGTACCCTGGAAATAGTCTCTAATAGTTGTGTTAAATTATTAGCTATAGTGCTAAGTTTATACCTCGATAAATCAATTATTGAGTTTACGGTTTGTAAGATAAGGGGATCAGATTCCAATACATCTAGTTGTTGTCCGCTATTACATGGCAGCTATTCAAAAACAAAGATTAATTAATTCGATTAAGCAACAAAATTCGAGGAATTAATTAATTTACCTTATTTACCTTAAGACTTATTCTATTTATCAATGATAGTATTAATGTTGTATCTCCGTTCATCTCGGTAATCTTATTACACCAAAAAAATTAAGTTTCCACTTGCTATCTAGGTATTTAATTCGAAAGTAGGTAACCTTGGTAATGGTACCAAAAGAAAGAGTGTCAAAACGTTTCTTACTAGGAGATAGTTTGTTAAGAAGGGAAAAGTAAAATAAAAGTCATGGCGAGTTAATAAAGTTGATACCGATGTTGTACTAGCACTACGTAGATTTGTGCCTGTGTTACATATTATCCCATTGGCTAGAACATTTGACATATTAAATGCGAGCCGAAAGATCAACCGAAAGAATTGACTTTTAGATTTATTAAATACATGTGCTAGTCTTGTTTACTAAAACTATTACTGGAAAATCTGTTTCCATTCAAGAAAAAGTAGGGCATGATTGGTACGTTAATGTAGTACAATAAAAATTGTTAGCACTTTATTCATAAAATAGTTTTAACATTACACAACAGACAATGCAACTGGTTTTGTACAAAATATCGGACTTGACGCACTACCTGACACTTCTCTGGTCTTGAATCAAACCCGATACTTTTGTATGGAATCAATTGACGCGACTGCAACTCAACTCGTTTACGTTAATAAGAAATAAGGGTCTTGTTAGAGTATAACGATATGCCATAATATGCATTATTAAGCATTTAAATTCAAAATTATTAAACATCCCAAATAAATATGTACATGTGTGCTATTCCTTGGAATGACATCATGACAATATCGATATGTTCGATCAAATTCTCTCTAACTTATTTCCATATAAATCCCATGCGTTTAGCTATTGTAGATGCAAATACATATCGATAATAAATGGTTAAATGTTTTAAAACCAAAAAATTGACATAGAAGTCTTACCAATTTTATTTCAACTTTATCTTAGATGTTTTAAAATTATTGTTAAAATCCCACCAGTGACTTTATGCGTATTTGGTATATAATAAATTCTACGTTGACGATTGAATTTGAAACTTTTACCTCTGCATTGAGACTTTGAAACAATTATTAAAACTAAGGTTTCATGCACCGTATAAACTTTTTATAGACTAAAAATCTTCATTGCACGTAGTCAAGTGTGTAACCATACCAATAATTAATATCAGCTGGCCAAACCGGATGCAAATTTGTCACTCGTATAACTTGGAAATCGGTGATCCAGATGAAAACGGTTAGAATAATCATAACGAGCCTGAACTGTGATTGGATGTTTTTTCTAATTTCATTTTTCGAATGAGATCTAGTAAATATTTAACACTGTTGTTTTGGTGCAATTTACTATAGAAATATACTACAAATATATTACAAATATACTACAGGAATATACTACAGGAATAATGAATAACTTGAAATAATCCAATGAACTAGATAAAAAATAGCTAGTTATCGTTATTGGTTATTTCCATAACATGATACATCAAAGTAATAACGTTATATAACAAAACTTTAGCAACAGTACTGAAAATAAAGAAAAAAACCTACCAAATAAAATGATAGAATTTAAATTTTATTTATAAAACTACGGCCAGACCTCCCTAAACGTAACCTCCATAAGTGCATAGTTTATGAAAAACTTCTCTAAATGCGGTCCCGCTTATATAAACGACACTCAATTCGTAGACACAACGGTTCACCATGTTTATTTCTCCGACAGTTATTTCTCCGATAGTTTATTTCTCCGACAGCTCTGGTGATTGTCGTTTTGTCGTTAGGTTAGATTAGAATTAAAGTTAAAGTTAGTGTAATTTATAAAAAAACTTGTCGATGAAATGTTGTCTACGTAATTAATATTAATGAAATGAGACGGATCCCTTTAAGTGCGAATTTACTAATTTCCCCAACCACTTATGATTGGTTCTACTAATTATTCACATATCGGAGTATCTGTGTTATTAATCAATTTATAGTTCTCCGATAGTGAAGTGGTGGGGGAAATTAGGGCACCCTTTAAGTGCATGGTCTTGTCTGGCCCCAACTTATATGATATATGTAGATTTTTACCTCTCTAAATGCAAAAATTGTTGATTTTTCCATATATACCCTTCAGCTATGCATTTAGGAAGGTCTGACTGTATTGTTGAATTCTAATAAAAAGGATCATTTGCAAATTCTAATATGTACATATAAACTATATTTTACCAAACTTAAATTCTAATTTAATCTAATTTTAAGTATTTTAAATTTTCTACGTATTGTATATATAAGTTTTCAAATTATACTTATATTTTATGATCATTATTAGTATAAAATTAAAAGGTTATCGTTATAATACGTAAATATCAATTCATAGTAATATTTTGAACATTTTGGTTAGAATTATAAAAATTTTTTGGTTAACTAGTTTTAAAAAATAATTGTCAAATAATACTATCATGTGATACTCTGAAAAAAATTCGTTTAGTTTTAAAGTTTAGGTTAAGGTCAGGAAGAACAATAGTATAGCAAAATTGTGCAAGAAAATTTTTTTGTTTGGACTCCAAAGATGGTTTACTAGACCAAATTTTGAGAAAATACGATTTTTGCAAAGCGAATGTTTGTTTAAAATTTCTTTATGATCCTGATTTTTAATTATGTGACATACTTCCTGGCGTTGTTAATACACATTTTATAGTACAGTACAGTACATCTACAATACGATTCGTCGACAAGTCAATTAATCGACAAGTTCGTTTCACCAACAGTTTATTTCACCGACAATCATTACACCGACAAAGTAACTCTGCTCATTGTCGTTGGGGTCAGGTTTAGAGTTAAAGTTATGGTTAGTGTAATTTATAAAAAAAGAAACTTGTCGGTGAATCATAGCAAATTGATTGGAATTATTACCTGTAATTTATATTATATAAATTAAAATTTAAAAATAAAGTTTTATTTTTTTTAATGTTAGAATTAAACTAATCCAATTATTTGATAGTTATAAGTTTTTAATAACAAATTAATTAATTTGTTTCTTAAAATTTAAAATTATAAATAAAAAGATTTTATTTATAATGTTATAGCATTATGATATTAACTAATTAGGATTTAAAATCAATTTTTTTTATTTAAAAGTTATTTTTTGTATTTTAATAAAGAAATTTTTATAAAATTTTAGAAAACATAGTTACTTTATTGATTAATAAGAAAAGGTTATTCTTAGGTTTCTGTTTCTAAAGTATACTAATAATTGTTTATAAAAAAAGAACTAGAGTTAAAAAAATCTTAGAAATTTCTTCTAGAAAAGAAACTTGAACTACTTTGATTTAGGAGAATTTTGAAGATTTATATATATACCTTTTGAGCTAAGTATCAAAATATCAAAACATTATAACAACCAAGCATTAAACATCAAAATGTCAAAACATCAAAATGGTAAAACATCAAAATAAAGTGTTAAAGTATTAAGGCATTAAGACATTAGCATTAAAAATAATAATAATATGTATAATACGTAATAATAATAATGATAATAGTAATAATCTACCCTATAACATTATATTAAAATTTAAGTAAATTAGATTTATTTTTTGCTTAAAGATTTAAAAAATATCTAAATACTATGTTCAAAAATATCCAATTTTTATACAACCCTTACTTTAACCTTAATATTAAAAAAATTATTTTAATCTTAATATTAAATGATTAAAAAATTACGTATGTCAAAAAAAATACTAAATTTAAACATATTGTGCATATTTAATTTTATTCTTTTTGGTAGTTTTTACAAAATACTGTAAATACTACGTATTATTAGATGTAAAGTAAGCTCCGATATGGGTATTTTATTATGTCACTGCTATAAGTTGAAATAAAAAATAAAAAACAACACATTTTATAAAATAACCTTAGTGTTAATAGAAATTAAAATAGTTTTAACTTCTTGTTTATTAGGTGATCATGATACAGTTGATACTGTTCTACGTAATTACATGCTATCCGTCAGATTTTTTATGCTATTTTGTGTTAATAATTAAAAACAAAAGTTTTTTCATGCATATGCAATTAGACAGTATCAACTGTATAATACGTATTTAATATTTATCTTTTTTTAATAGGTTCATTTTCTATTTAACGCTCCCATAATTCTGCAAATTCTTTCTTATTACCTATATTAAACAAAATCTAGTTATGACTGGACTTTAGATTGGAAGTCTAATCAAAGATTGGAAATCGATGAGTTTGAGCATGAAAAATATAAAACAGGATTATAATGTACGTATCTAATTTTTCATATAATGATTCAATGCTCAGTAAATTTACTCGTCGATCCTATTATAAGATAGTTCCGTAAGAAATAATTGCATAAAACAACATTTACACAACTTTCCGTTTAAATGCTTATTATAGTGTTTACAAATACACTATTGAATTATTTAGAAAAAAAAAATACAAAAAAATTATTCAATATTCACGTAATGCATTACCAATTATATATTACACAATTGGTTCGGTTTTTTTTTTTTTTTTTTTTTTTACCGCTATTATTCCAATTAACTAGATTTGCTATTGTGTATATATAATAGTATATGAAAATATTATCTATTTTTTTGTAACAGTTTTATAATACAGTACGGTATACAAACTAATGGTAACAATAATAATGTAAAGAACTATTTTCCCTCTAAAGAAAAAAATCTGTTTATATAAAGTTTCAAAAAAAATTCACAATTCCCTGTAATGTATAAAAAAAAAAAAAAAAAAAAATAGTATATTTAAAAGAAAATAAAAAAAAAGCAAATTAATGCACTTAATGATATCAAAAATGTGAATTATTGTAATGATGCCCTCTGTGATTATGGGCCCGTTCAAGTCTGCTAACATCATGTTGGCCGTCACAACATTGCCGCACATTTTCAAATTCATTATGATCCAAATCATTGTGTGAATGTCCCGGAATCGCAGGTTGCCCGTCAGTAAATTCTGATGAAAGAGGTGAAGGAGGTGACAAAGTATCCTGACGTCGAAACATTGATTGAAGTTTGCTAAAACTTGATTTTTTCTTAATCTCTCGGAGGTTATTTCCTCT